GGAATTCTGGGAGTTGAAGTCCACCCATCTTCAAGTTGCCACGGTTGAGAAACACTGCTCTAGGCATATGACGAATACTCCTGAATGTACATTATGCATGTACCCCAAAATAGCTGTCCCGGCTGGTAATAAATTCATTTTTTTCATAGCCGGGTAACGAAACGTTTGCAAGAAAAGAACCAACCTCAGAGAACACAGTTCAACCCTGAGCCACACATATTCGCTTCTCTTAATAAATTCATTATTTTCCTGAACCGACGGACGTGCCAACCGGGCTTACAGGTGACTTTAATGCTGGAGAAACTTCACTGACGTTCGAAATACGTTCATGGGAAGTTGAACTATAGCCTCAAAAACGGGAACGATCTTTGGATCGATCGAAATCGGAGCCTGCCTGGAAACATCCTTTTTGCACGGTGGGAAAGAAAGGAACCCTTGACATCCCAGTCTGAAGAACTGTGTTTCCTTGCAGTCTTTGAATGGACTTTTTTTTCTGTCTGATGGAGAAACAGATCAATAGGAGTCTGTGGTTACGGCTCTGTTTAGAGTCATGTTTAGGCATTTCTGCAGCGTATTTTTTATCTTGTAGGATTTATTTCTATTTCTGCTTTTTTCCCATGTCTACTGCTTTGTATCTCGCTGCAGGCACGCTTTCTTCTTTTTCTCTTGATATACTACAGCAGACCACCACAACAAAAGAAAACATTTATTTTATTTATATATATTGATTAGAATTTTTTGATCCAGGAAAAGTACAGAAAACCAAACCAAAAAGAGAAAGTAAAAAAATAAAGACGCGAAGAAAAGAAATGAAAAAAGAAGAAAACACAGTATACTTATGCCTTCTGCCCTTCTTTCTATCAGTTAATTACCACATTCTTCTTTTCTCTTCCTCTTTGTGCCTTTTTCATCCCCAAATCCATAAATCATCAATTCAGTCTTGTCTTCTTTCAAGAAAACGTCCATATAAGGTTTCTAGTCTTTCAAAACAGTCTTTATCTTTTTTTTCCCCTGACCAAACTGGTCAGCTTTGCCAATTCTGCAAGTGCGGTTCATTTTATCATCCTTTTTAAATCTGGAGGTATTTCCTCGCCGTTCCACCTTTGGGCATGCGGTCCTCGGGCTGCAAACAAGAGCAAGGAGAACAACTTTGCAATGAGAATTTGGACAGGGAGGGGCAAGGAAGAGTCCAAAGGGTGGGGGAGGACCCCGCTCAGTCCTGGGAAAGTGGAAAGCATCAGAAACTCAAAACGACCTGCCTGGATTGGTTTAGGGCTAAATGGGGCAGAGAGAAAGTCAGTTGAACATGGCAGATTGTGCCCTTCTACCCTATCACAATAAACATCACCCCTGGAATCCCTGCGTGGCTGTTTCTTCACCTGGCCTACCTCGCAGGGCTGATAGGGAGGCTCACGTCTGCACTGCCCCTCTCTCTCCTCTTCCCTCTGCAGGCCGTGTGGCAATGGAAGATCAATCAAGCGGTGTGCCAGGCCTTGATGGAGAAGAGGGACTGCCCCTGGTGGGGCGACGCAGGCAAAGGCTTCGACCCTCCGCTCTGCCGCTTTGGCACCCTCACTTTCAGGGCCGAGGGGCGGTTCAAGAATGCCACCTACCAGGGAGAGTGGTGCTTGGGGAAGCCCCACGGCAAGTAAGTCTGTGCTCTGTGGGCATCAGGCCCATCTCTAAAGAAAAGTGGCATTCGCCAATAGAGATGCCAACCAAACTAATTTGGTGGGTGGGTTAACCGTGGTTTCTGGGTAATGCTCGGCTTCGGAGAGGGGGGAACATGGCCTTTTGTAACATCTGCAACCTGATTTGCCTTAAGTTGAGGTGGACCACACACTTTAACTCAGTGCTCTTCAAACTTGGCCACGTTAAGATGTGTGGACTTCAACTCCCAGAATTCCCCAGCCAGCGACTGCTCTTTCTTCTTTCTTGTGCTACTTTAGTTTGTATTAGTTCTTACTATTGTTGTTAAAACTCTAAAAAAAAATTAGGTTAAAAAAAAAAAAAG